TTAGTTTTAAAGTTCCTGGGAATTGACTTACAGATAAACCGAGCCCTGCGGAGCTGTTTCTTTATTGAAATTTATTAATTTGTCTAGGTGTAATTTTGTGTAGCGTTGTTTAATTTGGATTTAAACTTGAATTTAATCTTCTACTTGGTGAAGTTTCAAAGATTCTATTCAGTTAATGAATTTGGATGGTGTCTGGAGTGTCCCTTGAGTTCGTTTTATTTTTGTCTTATTTTATTGCTTGTTTTAACAGTAGCAAAATAACTGTTTTGTGTTTACACTTTGAAATCTGGAGTGTTAACCAGCTCTCCTGTTGAAATATCTACTTAATATTTCTCTCCTTAATTGCTGCCTTTTACTACAGTGGCAATCTTAACTGTATATCACTTTTTCGCACTGGAGTGACAACCAGAAATGCTTGAGAAAAATAATACTCTATTTTCTTACTTCTCTGAGGGGGGCGAAAGGTCGCAGAAAGGGTCTCCCTTTTATACTCCTTGGGTCGCCTTCCTTTTTCACGCTCTACCTTCTATTTACAGGATTTATTTACAGTGTATTTTTCTCAAACTGAATAAAAAGTGAAATTTTCACGCTATAGTTCCGCTGCGCTTTGCTGCGCTGAACTGCGGTCTACTGCGGTCAGACTGCGCCTGGAATCCTTATTGTCCTTCCTCGCCTAAGCTATTTTAATGGTTAATTAGAATTTGTCTGCGCCGCATTTGCCGCAGTTCCCTATTTCAAATTCCCCATATTTCCCATTAAGTTCGCTATGACTCGGTCATACTGAATTCAAACCTCGCATTACTATGCGTGCGACTGTGCTGAGACCTTCAGCTGATTTATTCCAATTTTATTTAGTGACATTTTAGTTAAAATGAGACTGAAATGATAAATGAGTGAATTATTCAGGTTTAAAACTGAAAGAAAAAGTTGCTAGTAATCAAGAATTACTCAAACGAATGTGTTATAGCTCTCTACTTCATTAGAACATCGTTCCCTAAAATTCCCGCCATGGTCCGTCGTAGTTTAGTAGTTTTCGTGAATTTCGTTCATATTCCCTGATTCCCTTTTGTATTATCACATCCTAATCCTCCATATGTATTGTTCGTTGTTATAGTAGGTCGTCCTCGAAGATATCATATTTTTATGTATTTTATTTAGGGCTCTAGACCTCTTGAAGCTGTCTTCCCGCGTGTTTTCAGGTTTCTAACTTCATGTCCTTGTATCTCATTCATTTCTGGATGTTTTCTCACGTTCTTGGTATCATAAATTTCATTTATTCCCACCTTTCCAATGGTACTAAGGTTGTGTCCTATTTCCCTGTATTCGTTGAGTTAGCAAAGTTTCGCGCGCACATTCGGTAATCACGTGCGTCGTTCCCATAGTTGTTCGTATGCGGGAGCCGTTTTCGTTTAGTTGTTCGGGATTTATGATATGCGCGGGTGTTTATTTCTTTCATATGGGCTTCTGTGATTTATTTCAGATTTTTCCCTCATGATCTAAGGTTGTTTTGCACCTTTCGTGCTTTGTTTTGACCGGGCTCTTCCTTATTTGGACGGAAATTGGTCTTCGCGATCTGCCGAAGTGCGGATCTCGGTTCCGACGGCCGGTTCCCTGCGCATCGCCACCCTCACGTGTCATTACACATGATGCGGATTCCTATATTCCCGCCATGGGTATAACTTCACAACGGCTGGACCGTTTGGGCTGAGAATTTGCATAACTATAGTTTCCTATTTTTCATAATTTCCGTGTAAATTTCGTTGTATGTTTTAATTATGGATCCTACGCAATCATCGTCTTGTCCCTGAGCTCGGACTTTTGATGTCGCTATTCCCGTTATTGGATTTCTCATTAACGCATGATCCTTTTATTATGGAAATTTGGGAGGATTAAGAGTAGATCCTTTCCTTTCTAATGGGCTATCAAGCTTGTCTCGGTCGTTACTAGTTAATCTTCGCGCTTGCTTTTTAGACATTGTCCTCGTTTTGCAGGAGTTTTAGTCATATCTCCGTCGTTTATTAGTTTCCCTTATTATTATTGGTTTTGGTATCTTTTCTATTATAACTTTGTTTTGATTAGTTCTGAGATCTTGTTCGTGTACTTCATCTTCTATTGTCACGTGGGAATATTTCCGTGGGTTCTCTGATTATTTTTATAGTCAAATCTTGGTCGATTGTCCTAATTCTTGGTTTAATATTTGCTATAAATTCCCCCGAGAATTCCGTCTCGTTGATGGTAAGCTTGAAGTATTTTTGTTATTTTTCTTTCTTTCGATTTATCGTGTATAGTCGTAATAATTCGTAAAAATTCGTAAATTCGTAAAATTCAGGTCCTTCTATGTTCTCATATCTACTTGTCGTATGAGGTTTTGTGATTTATCTGGCATATTTTCATAATGGGTTTCCATAGTGTGGCCGTTATTTCTCCTACAAACAGGCACAGCGGGTCTATTGCAGTCCCTTGCAATCCCCTTTTTAATCACTTTGTTTCTCTTATCTTTTTTTTTTTTTTTTTTATCATGTTTTCTTAAGATTGTTTATTGGATATTTGCATAAGGTTGCTTTAAGTCTCGTCTCAATCTTTTCGCGAAAGTGTTTCATATTCAGTCCTAGTGGTAGTACAAAGAATGTATTCGGAAGATAATTCGGGGTTGATTGGGCGGTAGTGTGATTGGGAGAGAGTGTGTTTTCACATCAAGCCATCTCATAGCTACCTCCAATATCTTTCCCTTCGCTCAACCGGCCAGGTTTCGTCGGCAAACAACACGTCTTGGTCCGATCGGTACATTTCCATGGCTACTTGCAACTCCTCCATAGTTTCGGGATCGAACTCTCGGAGCTTCTCGTATACGAATGTTTGGAAAACGTGGTAAAATTCGAGAGGCCGTTCCTTGCGGGGTATAGTTAGATGTTCGAGGGATAGATGGAGAAAATGATGAAGTTGTCCCCATGCTTGACGTAGATTGTTGTCGATGTAATCTACCGTTCCATGGTCGTTGCAGATAGCAGCTTCCAACGTAATCCTTCCTATTACCAATTCTATGACTTCTTCCAGGTCTCGTACCAACGGCCTTGTCTCGTGCAACTTGAATAAAGTTCCCATTCTGCGCGGATTTTCTCGAAGCGCGATCTCATCTTGAATTAGCGACGTGCATTCTTGAGTAGTCCTCCACGTTTTGTCTAAGTCTCGTTCCAATTGTGTTAGGTGTTTGTTGAGTAAGACGCTTACGAACTTGACGCCCTTGGGGTAACCTTGGTCGTAGTCTGTGCGCATCTTTTCTTTAAGTAGTTTGGCGAATGCTGGGGATGCCGTGGTTCCAACGCGGGGTATATAAGAAGATCGGGTAGGTCCCCAGGTGGGTTCCGGTGAATTATGGGGTACCGACGCCACTTGGTTAATGGGGGGGTCCGTCCAGTTATATGCATACTCTGCAATACTACTTTCGGGATACTGTAATTCCGCGTCCTGTAAATCTTCTGAATCCGTATCTACAGCGGCTATCTGGGTTATCTTAACTTCCTCTGTCTTTGTCTTCACGTGCTTACTATCGGATTGTAGGCGGGACTCTTCCAGAATTCCCCCCGTCCTTTCCAATAATACCCTGTCCGCCGTTTGTCGCTGGTTAAGGTTATTCCTCACCCTTTCAATCAAGTATTCAAGCTCGGAGTCCGATCCGTGGCTATCAGCACTAGTGGACATTTCATCTGTTTCCGGGATTGTCACCTTTCCCAAGGTTGTGATTGCTCCTGCTGCTACGACGTGATTTGGAATCCAACCTTCCATCTGACCTCGCTTGACTAGGGAGACTGGCGATTTGGCGGTCTGGACAGTAGACATATTCAGATATAAGCTAGTTCGGATTATTCTGAGGGGGCGGGACTCTAGCTAAGTTGTCTTCGTCCTCCTCTGATTTTTATATATTTTTGCTTCTGTATACTCCATCCTCCATTGGTACTCTGGGGTTCTGAGCTTTCCCTTCGTGGATTGTGTCTTGTCCCCCCCATCTTTCCAATGACCGCGAGGCAGTCCATCCGCAGCCTCGTCTCTCCGTTCCACTTCCCTGTTCCTTTCTACTCGACCTTTATGATATCTGCTCTGGTTTGGTCTTCAATATCATAGCTCAACGTCTCAATTCTCCTGGCTGTTCCCTTAGACCAAATCCTCCTTCGGCTTTTCCCTTTGGGCGCGCACTCCGATCTTAGATCGCCGCCGTTACTGGGGTTCTCCGATTTTCCCATGACTCCTCTCCCTGCTGACTTCATGGCTTGTCTCACTGGCAAGTCATCTTCGGGTTTTCCATTTATTTGGATCTTGCGCCCTCTTTGATCGATTCCTTGTGTCTTACTCGTGTATCCCCGATTGCTACTCAATTGTTTCTGGGCCGATGAGACATTACTTGTCTCTACCTTATCCCTGGTTTTGTTTACTTTAACGCTAGAGTACATTGGGATCTACGCACGGAGTCCGGGAATTTATCGATCGGCTGTGTTCATAGTCTCGGCTATCAGCGTTTGCCATACTGGGACAGCCATTTTCGGATCCGTACCTTTTCCTGCCCCCGGAAAGGCAATAAAGGGGATGTTACTCCTCTTCCTCCTTCCGTTGGTTTAGTAGGGGTAAGAAGGGTTGCGGGATACGTAGATTTGCCTGCCCGTTGGCTTCCTCCCTTGGTTCTTGAGTAGATACCGGTCCCCCAACGATTCCTGAGAGCTTGATTTCTCTCGATACTCCATATTCCTATGAACCGCCTCTGGTTCTTCTCCGTCGGACGTTAATGGGCTCTCCGGTTCCGGTTCCTTGTCCTTTTTGGGTGTTAATCCGTAGCGCCAGCCTGCTAACGCTATGATCAGGCCCAGGATTACTGCGATCGTCGTGTATAGAGTAGTCTTCATGCTTTGTAGACTAGTCTTGTCCGCTTTCAGGGGGTCTTTCTGGTGCTGTGGGATCATTCTAAGTCATTTTATACCTTTCTTCCGAGTCCAAATACAACATTTTTATTATTACACCCATATATTTCTGGTGTGTATCTGACACGCTTCCCTCCAGTCCTGTCCGTTGGCTATGTAGTCGTCTATGTGGATCATAGCAAGTCCTTCGGATAGACCATGTACTGCCATCACATCCCGTACTGCATACCGATATGTAAAATCCGGGCATTCCACTACTGGCGGTCTGCCGGTTACTCGTTGTACCTGTTCGGGTGTTGGCGGGTCATTGACGATCATTTCAGCCATTTCTTCAAGGGGGAACTCTTCACCCTGTCTGCTCCTCCGCTGATCAGATCGCCAGTTCTTCCAGCCTCTCCTTGCCCGTGTGCAACAGCCGACCGCACGCTTCCAGACTCTCGAAGCCCATCCCTTCTTCATTTTTGTTTTATTTTCCTTTTATAACTTGTTAGCTTTTTAGGGTTATACTATGCTTTTTCCCTGATTATTTACCGCGCGCGCTTTTGACTTTTTGTTCCACCGCCGCGGGTGCTCTGTATTGTATGTGCTTTTTTGATCCCTGAATCCATTAACGTGGGTTAATTAACTGAAGAAACTTCGCTGGAGAAGCTTTCTTTCCTTTCCAAGACGTGAAACCAGTTAAGGTGCACGGGCGCAGGAAAATAGAGGCGTCCTCTGGGTGATTCAGGACTTTTATACCTCATATATGACCCGGGCTGATGTTTCCGTTCATGGTCCCTATAGTCCCATCGCGGATCGTACCTCGCTGCTTCCCTTGCCCGTTCACTTAACGAGTCAATTACTTTCGGCAAATCCCTTCCCTCTTTTATCAATTGTTTTCTGATGGTCCATCTATCCCACACTGCGTCCCAATATAATATTTCCTTATTTAACCGTGCCTGGCTTTCCTTGTAAGGTATTTCAAATGTTATTTCCACGAAATCGTCCCCGTCGGGTCCGTAGATTCATCACCTTCTCCAGACTCTCTGGATTTTCGTCAGATAATCCTCCCGAGTCATCGTCTCCTGAGTCATCTCCTTTCTCGCTCTCTTCTGACGGGGTCCCATCAGCCTCCTCCTCTCCTAACCACTGTTTCCTTTCCAAATTATGCCATTTCTCAATTGTTTTCCATTTTCCCTCTTGTTCAGGCTTCCGTTTGTGTATGATAGGCTCGTTGTTCTCGCGAAAATAAAACATTTTTACCCGTTGCGCTGCTATGGGCTTGGACAATACTGTTCCATCCAACTCCGCTAAGACATACGCCCCAGATGGTCGGTTTTCTACCACGTAATACGGCCCGAACCATCTCAGCGCTCCCTTATTTCCTTGTTGATTATCTAGGAAATTCTTATATACTAATACCATAGTACCGGGTTTGATAGGATCTTTATATTGAGGTTTTCCATATTTGTCCCAAAATGCTTGCGCATTTTTCCGCCGTTGGGCTTCTAGATCCCTTGATGCCTGGTCTATATTGTCATCCCTTTCCTTCAATTGAGCCATTCTTAGCGCTAGTAGATCCGTTGTAGATTCTACTTTATGCCAGTCCAATGTATGCCATGTTCTTTCAGAGATATCAAAGGGGAATAGAGGTGCTTGTCCATATAGTAAATAATATGGTGAAAATCCCGTAGCTTTACGCGTCGTTACTCTATCCGCCCACATAGCATAATAAAACCATTCGGACCATTTGTTTCTGTTTCCTTTGCAATTCTTCCAAATTGCGTCTAGCCAATACCTATGTCCTACTTCTAACATTCCATTTGCCCTTGGGTTCTCCGCGGAAGTGTGAATTACTGGAACATTATATTTCTTTACTAATGTTTGAACTGCATCCTTGAATTCCGATCCGTTGTCTGTAGTTATTTGTGGAATACAGCCGAATCGGCACATTATGTCCTCGAAAATAAACCTTGCTATTCCGATTGAGCTTTTGTCATACAGCATTCGCGCTTCAAGCCAACCCGACAAGTCGTCTCTAGCATCCACTATATAGTTATACTTCCGGCTCTTTGGCATATGGACCGTGTCCAATGCAAATTTCTTCAAAATTGTTTTTACATATGTCGGTCTTATTGGAATTTTGGGCCTGTAATTAGATCTAACCTGGCATTCATGACATGTTTGACAATACCATTCCACAAATGTGAACATTCGTGGCCACCAGACTTTATCCGCTAAATTCTTATAGGTCGGGAGCTTTCCCCGATGTCCGGTCTCGTCATGCGCTTGCTTGCATAGATCCCAACGCTTGTCTAAGTCTTCTATTACCAAAAGTGGTGGTTGTACACCGTTTCTTCGCCAGAGTCTTGAATCTCCATAGTAGAATTTCTTGACCCGCGTTAGGACCCTCCTGCGCTCCGTAGCTCCCTTTGGTAATTCCATGGTTGTTAGGTATTTCTTGATTGGATCAAAAAAATCCGCCTCTTTCTTTAAATCCACAGGCTGTTCCCTTAGTGATTTGGGTTGTTTTTCCGGTTTAATTTGGCCTTCCATGTATCCTACCCGTCCTAGCCAGTTAAGAGGTTCCACACCGGTATTGGAAATAACCGTAGGGTTTTTCCATTGTACTTCCACCGGTAGACACTCCTCTTCTCCTGAGTCCATCTTTGCAATATGTTGTATTATCCATTTCTGTTCATTTTCCCAATCTAATTCTTCCTCGTCACTTGAATATTCCGGTTCCGAGTCCGCCTCATATTCCTCTTCTGAGTTTTCTAAATCCATGTCATAGTCTTCTTCCTCTAAAATTCCCCATCCTCTTCTTCCGAAGCTAAATCCTGTTCTTCGTAGTAATACCATCCCGCATTAATATTCCTAGCATATTGAAATGCGTCATCTTGATCCATTTCCCCGTCAGACTCCTCGGAATCCTCTTCCGAAGGTCTTCTTCGTGACAGTCCATCCGGTCCTTTGTGCTGGGTTGCCGGAACATGTTCCATTTCAAAATTAAACAAGTGTAGATAGGATACCCATCTTGTCATGGGTGCATTTGGCAGGTCCGGGTTATTTACCATCTGGATTACCGACCTTGCGTCCACCTTGATCCGAAAATGGTATCCCCACAGGTATCGCCTGCATGCTTTGACTGCCCGAAATACTCCGTACAGTTCCAATTTGGGTTGAGAATAGTGGGATTCCGTTTCATTGAATGTTCTAGACCCAAATTCTATAGGATATTCTATTCCATCCTCCAACCTTTGGAATAACACCCATCCTACGCCACTCTGCGCGCTGTCTACTGCTAATGTGACTAGACCTTCGTCCGATTCTCTGTTTTCCTTCCGTTCCACTTGTCTTGCTAATTCTAAACTTAATGGTCTTAAGGCTCCCGCGCCTAATGCTGCTTCCTTTAATATATCCATTGAGTCTTGTGCTTCGTCCGTCCATTGGAAGTCCTCATCGGCTCCCTTCCTTGTATACATAGTCAACGGCTTAGCTATTTTAGCAAAATCTTGGATCCATCGGCGCACAACTCCAACGGTTCCTAGAAATCCGCGTACTTCCGAGACGCTCTGGCAACTTTCCCATTTAAGGATCTTCGATAGGGTACCGTGACTTATGGTTTGTCCGATAATGGACACATTTCTTCCTACTAATTGTAATTCGGGGGTTGCTAATACAAACTTCTTACCCGAAATAGTAACTCCGCTGATCTCGATTCTCGTTAGTAACTCGTGCAGCGATTGTGCATATTCCCAAACAAATCGGCGGATTTCGGGGTTCTCGGGGATGGTCTCTCCCTGGTACAGGGTTGGAGGTCCCTTGAGTGCGATGTCATCAACAAACACCCCCGCTCTGTCTGCCATTCCCTTTATTATATGATAAGATCTTCTACAAAATTCAATTACTGAGTTCGTGAATCCCTGCGGGAGACATGTGAGCTGCTGCGGACCTAAGCTAAAACCATGAAAAGCTGTCAAGTGACGGCTTTCAGGAGCTAACGTGCACGCATCATACCCAGAGTAAAGATCGGCGATCCCATAAATTGAATGACCTGCAAATTGTTCTGCGAAGTCGTCAACACGTGGTGGCAAGCCGGCATCTTTGATGGTTTTGCTATTGAGCTTCTGTAGATCATGTACTAGTCTATAAGTGTTATCTTTCTTTTCTACTACGAATATTCTTGATCGGTATGCCGACTGCGACGGCTCGTATACATTACCCTCTTGACGTTCCTTTATTAAATCTACTATTTTCCCTTCCATTGCCAACGGGAATCTGATTGGTTTCTCCTGCCATGGATCGTGCTTAACTGTACGTATCACATAGTCAGGAAAATATTCTCTATTAAACACTCCTCGTTCTTTACTAGAATAGGCAAAAGCATTCGGGTGCCTGCCTACTATATAAACCAAAAGATCAACCTCCGCGGTTCGGAGAAACCCTTTAGGTATAGTGTCTATCATGGCCTGGACTCGCTCGGGCGTAAACTTTTCGGTGTATTTAAAGTTCTCCGCCGATATTGGCGTAAATGGTATTGGCTCAATGTAGTCGATCACAATCTCTTTATATTGGGGAATTGGAGCGGTTGGATCCCCGACAGACACAGGCTTCTTTTTCTGATCTACCCGTTTGTACTTAGCTGCTTCTACCGCCCTCGCTATATCCTTGGCAGCTTCTCCAGCCTCGGTTGCTGTTAAACCTCGTGTTTCTAGTAGCCAATGAATAAAATATTCGAATCCCCATACTGGTTCTAATCCCGTTAGATCCCATACTTGTTGTAATACTCCAAGATATTCCGTGTTCCCTCCGCTCTTTATTATTTCTGGATTTATCAGGTCATTGGCTGGTGTGATTAGTTTGGATTCCGTTCCCGCCAGCCCAAGTGACTCATATAACAGGTTGCCTATTCTAGGCACAGCTGGGATTTTATCTTCTTCCGCTCGTTTTGAGCGAGTAATTTCCGATCCTTGTCCATCTATTATTCCCTTGTATGGTACTTCGATGTTTAGATATGCCCCGCTAGATGAATAACATTGCATAGGCGCGGATTGTAGATTCCTATTGTCCGATACTCTTGCGACTACTACCTTAATTGAAGGTCCGTCTTTTCTCCCTGCTACCCAGGCTTGAGCTACCATTCCCTCGCCCGGTGTATATTCTATTTTCATTGTATGGTAGTTCATGAACGGTTGTCCTAATACTACCTTCCGTTCTCCTATGGTATCCCTGCTCGTAACGAAGAAGTTATGGTCAAATCTGACCCCTCCGATGCTGATGGGAGTCTCCCTGCATATTCCTAATAGACCAACGGGTGATCCGTTGATTCCCTTCACTTGAAATTTCCGGTACTTCGTAGTATCCATTGGTAGATTTAATTCCTTTTGAATATCCGCGGACATGAGGTTGAGTTCACTCCCAGTATCCAGTAGCATTTCTACTTCGAAGTTATTAATGTGTCCCGCAACTTTTCCCGA